ACACTTTCCCAGCTCAGTGAGGAGCAGGCTCCACTCCAGGCTGCAGCCAAGGACCAGGAATGCTGAACGGACACTCCCACGGGCCCAGGCTCTCTCGAGGAGCAGGATGTCCACCTTTCTTATCCCTCCCGCTGTCTGTTGCTGAGGCTAAGTCCTGGGCAAAGGCTGCCAAAAGGTGGGGGCCCCCTTCTTCCACCTGGCCCACACTTGTGGAACTGAGGCTCTGCCCGGAGTGGGGCACCCTGAGAATACTGGGGTCCTCTGGAGGTCCTGGCCAAAGAAAATAGGCAAGAAAAAAAAAAATAAAAGTAAACCAGACTGAAAAAGAAAGAAGTAAAACTATCTATTCAAAGATGATATGATCTTATGTATAAAACAAAAACAACAAAAAACAAAAAACACAACACAAGGATCTACTAAAAAAAAATTAGAATGAATAAACTAGTTCATTAAGGTTGCAGGATTAAGATCAATATATAAAAATCAATTGTATTTCAGTATAGTAACAATGAACAATCTGAAAATAAGATTAAGTAAACACACTTATAAGAGTATTAAAAAGAACAAATTATTTAGGAATAAATTTAACAAAGGAAGTGCAAAATTATACTCTGAAAACTATAAAATATTGTTGAAAGTAATTTAAAAGATCTCAATAGATGGAAACATATCTCATATTCATGGGGTCAGAAGACCTAAAATTATTAAGATGGCAATACTCTGATTCTACTGGTCTATGGATACAACACAATCCATATCAGAGTCTCTGATGACCTCTTTCTAGAAACTGACAAGCTGATCCTAAAATTCATATGGAACTGCAAGAGACTCAAAATGACCACAACAATCTTGAAAAAGAAAAACAAAATTGGAGGACTCACACTTCTCAATTTCAAAACTTACTGCAAAGCTACAGAGCTACAGCAATCAAGACAGTGGAAAACTGGACTAAGGATAAACAGAGATCGGTGGGATAGAATGAAGTCTCCAGGAATAAGTGCACACATCCATGGCTGAGAGACTTTTGATAAATGTGCCAAGACCACTGAATAGTGAAAGAATTGTCTTTTTCCATAAATAGTGCAGGGACAAATAGGTAGCTGCAAGCAAACAAGAAAAATGAAGTTAGATCCTTACCTCACACTATATGCAAAAATTAACTGAAAATCAAAGACCAAACTCTAAGACCTAAAACTATGAAACTCTTAAAAAACATGGGGATAAATCCTCATGACCTTGGATCTGGCAAAGGATTTTTAGATATGACAATAAAAGCACAAACAACAAAGGAAAAGGTAGAAAAATGAGACTTCACCAAAATGACAAAAGTTTGTGCTTCAAAGGACACCATCAAGAAAAATGAAAAGTCAACCCACAAAATAGAATAAAGTATTCGGAAATCACATGTCTGATAAGGGGCTTGTATATAAACTATATAAGAACTCTTAGAGCTCAATCATAAAGACAAAAATAATTTAAATGGGCAAAGGATCTGAACTAACATTTCTCCAAAGAAGACATACAAATGACCAAAACGCACATGAAAAGATGCTCAACATCAGTAGTGATTAGGGAAATGAAAATCAAAACCACAGCAAGAGAAAATCTTACCTACAAGTATGATTAGAATCAAAAGTCAGATAATAAAAAGTGCATTGTCCTGTATACCAGAAGGTGGGGGGGTTTCGATTCCCAGTCAGGACACATGCCCAGATTGCAGGTTCGGTCCCCAGTGGTTGGGGTGCATATGGGAGGCAACTGATCAAAGTTTCTCTGTCACATCAATGTTGCTCTCTCTCTTTCGTTTCTTTTGCTTCTCTTCCCTCTCTCTGAAATCCATAAAGAACATGTTCTCGGGTGAAGATTAAAAAACATTTCATGAAAAGTGCTGGTGACGACATGGAGAAACTGGAACCCTCATATGCTGATAGGAATGAAAAGTGGTGCAACCATTATGGAAAACATACTGGAAGCTCCTCAAATAATCAAATATAGAGTTACTCCTAAAATATGAAAACATATGTCCACACAAAAACTTGTACAAGAATGATTATAACACAAAAAAGGATTGTTATAACAGAATTATTCACAGTACTCCCAAATCAGAAATAACCCAGATGTCTGTCAACTGCTGAGTGAATAAACAAAATGTGGCCTGTCCATACACGGGAATATTGTTCTGCCACGAAAAAGGAATGAAGTGCTGGTACACGCTATGACGTGGGTGAACCTTGAGGCTATTACGCTGAGTGGAAGAAGCCAGACACGGACGGCCACCTATTGTATGATTCCACTCAGATGAAATGTCACAACAGGCAAACCCACAGCAGCAGAAGGCAGATTCGTGGTTGCTTAGGGCGGGGCGGGGGAGCAGGGATGGGAGTGATCAAGTTACAGGTTTCTTCTGGGTGATGAAATGTTCTAAAATTGATTGACGGTGGTGCATATGTCTGTGAATGTACCCAAGACAACTGAATTGTACCCTTTAAATGGGTGATCTGTATGGTATATGAATTATATCTCAATAAATGGGAAAACAACCAGAAAAGAAAAAAAGAAGCAAGAGGAAGAAAACTGCCTTGTCCATAGAGAACCAAGGAGAAGAACTGCACTGGATTCTCATTAGAAACCACACATGAAAAAGAGAATGGGGTGACAGAGAAGCATAATTGTCTAACAACACTGTCGCCCAGGGTGGAGGCTGAGAAATGGCTCTGAGCAGGTCCTATGTCACCAAGCCCCTTTCCCACAGAAGCCGTTCCCACAGCCCTGCCCCTGCCCACTGCCCTCACACAGGACGGGGGTGGAGGACAGGGTGGCTAGAAGAGTACCTACTGACAGGGACCAGGACCTGCCACATCTGAGAATGATCTTAGCTGGACACTGGCCCACTGCTCTCCCCTCAGAATGCCCCACGGGAGGACACGCCTAGTGGGGACATGGGTCTCTTCCCTCCCACACTGTGCCCGGAGGTTCTGAGAGAGAGGTCAGCCTCTGCCCGGGGCCTGGAGTTTCAGGGAACTATCCTCTGCCCGAGGGGTAGGCCCTCTGCTCCTGGGCCCCTGTAGGGGGTGCGCGTTGGGCCTGGAAGTGAGCAGGGGCAGGGCGATCTGACGGCCCACCTGGGAAAGGTCCGACTCCGTAACTCCTTGATGAAGAGCTGGCTGCCGTTCTGCACGGGTTTCACGTCAGGCGTCTGGCCCAGGCTGTGTTTGTGCCAGGTCCGCTTCTTCTTCACTGCAGGGGACACGGCGGGTCAGCACCCCGCACAGGCCCCTGCCTGCATCCCCCTCGCCACGCCTCCAGAGACCAGCCACAAGGGCAGCCAGGGAATCGAGGCAGCCAGGCTCAACCCTCCTCAGGCCAAGTCCTCAGGGTCCCTGGGCCCGGCCCACCAGCCTCCCAGACCCCCATTACCCTGTGTCATCACATGGTCAGGAGCCCTCACCATCCCCAGCCTCTGGTCCTACACCCACGCCCACTCCATTTCATACCTCCCAACCCTGTAGCTCCGTTGATGGCACCCAGAAGCTGGGGTCTCCCAGGACCCCTCCCTACTCAGCACCCAGTCGTGAGAGGCATCTCCTGAGAAGGTCCTACCAAGGTCAGCCTTCAGGACAGCCCCCCCTCCCCAAACTTGTCTTCAAATAGCACAGACCCTGTCACCCCCCTGTTGGGACCTTCCTGTCTCTGCAGCCCACAGCTCACACACAAGAGCAGGCCGGCCACCACCTGCTGTGCTGTCCGCCCTCTCTAGCCCCGGGCTGTGCCCACCTCACACACTTCTGCACAGCCACCCCTGCCCACGTCACCCTACCCACTCCCTCAGGCAGCTCTGTCCTCATGCATGCTCCCGGGGCACTGATGCACACACCGTGGACTTTTTACACATAAGCGTGTGCACACACCCTTGTTGGACTGTGATACACTTGCACCATACATGTGCACTCACACATGCATACATGCACATGCATGCACACACACCGTACTGGACTGTGAGCGCCGAGGGAGGGAAGTGACTTCCTTGTGGCCCCCGCCCCTGGTTCAGGCAGTCACAGGTAACTCGGTGAGTGAGGAGGACCTGCTCCTTAGAACTGCTGGGGGGTCTGAGAGAGGTTGACCCTCAGGAGAAATGAGGCTGGGTATGAGGAACTGATGGGAGTGTCCTCAGGGTGCCTGTCCTTCCCAGGTGAGGATGGGAGGGAGCTTTAGCAATGAGCCCTGGGACTCCTGTGTCCCAGAGTTTGTGGGCATAAAGGCAGCTGAGGACAGCCCAGTGACAATGACTGCCCCTGAGAAGGACTTACCTGAAGCAGAAAGGGGAAGGCGCTGGGAGGCTGAGCTGGCCTCCGTCCCAAATCACCAACCCTTCCCCATCTCCATCAAGTCAAGTTGGAGACTATCTCCAACATCGGGTGATATTATGGCATGCCTGCTTCATGGCCAAAATGTGAGTGGATGCTATGGAAACCTGGCAGAATCTAAGCTGTGACTTCCAGAGGCAGCACCAGGCATAGACAGGAGGTCCAAAGGGCTCAGAGTCACCCGCCCAAATCTTTCTTGCCCTGCCATCTTATTGCTGTGTGACCTTGGGCAAGTTACTGGGCATCTCTGTGTCTTATCTTTAATAGAGAGATACTAGTCCCGGCCTCCTGGGCTCCTTGTGACATGTAATAAGGGAGTGATATTCAGCACCATGCGTACTCTGGGGAGCTCTGCAGGGCACACCCTTAGGCCCCTTTCTCTCAGCTGCTCGGTCCACAGGCAAACTCAGCACCTGTTCCAGATGCACAAGCTCTTCCCCATGTGCCCCAGTGTGTCCCTCTGTCCAGAGCCTCTGGGACGGGGGATGAACTTCAGACAGGAAGGGCTCAGCACACTCCAGCCCCTCGATGCCCACCAGAGCTGGGCAATACCTGGGCCACGGAAAACTCCCCACTGCCCTTTGGCTACCCCATCTGAGATCTGATCTCCCAAGAAGTTTGCAAGCACATGCTGAGCAGCTCAGCTCTGCACAGGGGTCACCAAAGTGACAGATAGCCTGGGGTCACACCAGCTTCCTAAAGAGCCCAGGGCCTGGGACAGGCGCCATGGCAAAACAAGCCCTGGGACACCGCCCCAGTCACAGCCCAGGTAACTCTGACTCTGAAAACAGACTGAGCATTATTGTCCTTTCTGCTGAGCCTGCAGCTGCACCAGGAAGTGACCTGGGACACCCAGGGTGCGCAGGCTTTAGAGTTTACAAGGCGCTCCCCCTCAAACGGCCCGAGGAAAGGAAGGAGCAGCGTGGAACTCAGTGTGCCCAGCCTCCTGGACCTGGGCTGTCCACACCAACCGGAGGGGGTGCGGGATGCCTGCAGTGGGAGATGAGCCTAGATCTACGGGGTCCCCACCTATGAGGGGTCCAGTACATTCAGGGATCTGAGGTGGGATGAGAAGGGAAGCCCAGGGCATATACTGGCAGCCATGGCAGTGCAGAGAGCAGAGGCAGGCTGACAGGAGACAGCGATCCTAGTGCTGTGTGGGGCTGGTGGGAAGGGGCAGGAGGGGAAGGAAGGTGCTGAGGAGGGGAGGCCATTAGAGTCCCTCCGGGAGTGTTCCCCATGTTCCCAGCCACTGTCTTCCCAGCAGGGCCTGAGGATGCTGAGTTAGCACCTGCCCCTGCCCCTCCCTCTGTGAGGCAGTGTGGCCCCAGGGCAGCCCCACCTCAGAGAAGAGCTCGAGGCTGGAGCCATGCCAAGGTCTCCCCTAGGAGGGTACGCAGAGCACAGGGATGCACACTGCCTGGCACTGAGTGCCTCATCCCAGGAGGCCACATGGGAAACCTGAGTCTTGGGGGTGGGAGGGAACATGGGGCAAAGTGACCGAGGTGCGGTGGACAGAAGGAGGAAGAAGCAGCACCTCCATGTGTCCCCAGAAGCTGGGTCTGAAAAGCAGGTGCTGACCGGCCAGTCCCTCCCTCAGGACCAGCAGCTCGCCACCTCACGGAGAGACTGCCCGCTGAGGCTGTGGCTGGAGCAGGAGGGCTGGGACAACAGCCAGGGACAGAGTTGCAAGACATGACCGAGTTCTGCCAAGCTCCCCGAGACTGAGAGTCCTCCGACCTGTGGCACCCCAGCACCCCTCTCTGGCAATGCACACCCTGGAGACAGCAGCTGAGTGGGGCACCTGGAGTGTGGGGGCCGCACCCCACCTCGTTGGGCATGACAGGATCCTCAGAGGATCAAAGTGAGAAGACAGTGAGTGAAGTAACCTCTTAAGCAGTCACAGAGCTAAAGAGACAAAACGGGGTCAGAGCCACTTTGAGGATATGCCACCTGCTTTGCATGAGACTTCGTGTCAACTGCCAGTGGGGACTCCTTGCTGGGTTCCCATGGGACCACTGGGCCCTGCACCACATCTACCTGTGGGCTCTCCCTCCTCACCTTGTCATGCCTGCTGCAAAGCCCACTCAGGGAAGGGAAGGAGGCAGGCCTGGGCCCAAGAGGGCCTGCAGCGCAGCCCACAGGTTTGGGGGCTCCCCTGGAAACACAGTGACATGAAGGAGCATCTTGTCCCCAAGGGGCCTCGCTGTGGAAGGGTGTGACTGAGTTGGTGTGGCAAACACCAACCTGTGCGTCACAGAGAGAGCATGGACTCAGTTCAAATGAAGAGTGATTGCCAATCTGGAGTGCATGCTAGTGGAAGGCGCTAGAACCTTTGTCCCTGATAGCATATGGCCACCAATAACAGCAGACAGGGACAGCATATATGCATATTTGCATAAACATGCAAATACTCATGCACACACATTCACTCATATACATGCACACACATACATATACCCTCCAGACACATATGCACATATGCACAAGCAGGCAGGGGCTGCTGGGTCCCACCAGGCTGCTGTCCCAGCATGCTCTGAGGGTGCCTGGATGGAAGTCCCAGGAAAGGGTGCCAGCGGCAATAACAGGCAGCTGGGGACCAGACCCAGGAGCACAGGAACAAGGGCTGGTGAGGCAGGCATAGAGCTCCGGCAGCAGGCAAGCTGACCCTCAGGGAAGGGTGCTTCTGGGACACGCAGGGGCGTTGGAGAAATTGCACTGCTGTGCACACCAACACCCACCTCCAACCCTGCTATAGCCCAATCCCAGTGCCCCCAGTTCATGCAACAGTTCACAAACCACACAGATGTGGCCCCACCCTCCCTAAGCCCCCTAAGACTGTGCCTCCCCAGGGCACTGGGCTCTGCTGGGGGTCAGTAGGGATTTCTGATCCAGCCCTTCTTTGTCCCTGGCTCCGTTCCCATGATCACATGGTACACCCTCTCCTGCCCCGTGTCCCCACCCTATTCATCTTTCCTAGGCCCTGAGCCTTCCCAATGGCTCAAGAGGTGCCAGAAATGCCACCAGCTGGCCCATGGAATGGTAGTCACCTCCTGTATATCTGCTGAAAAGGATGAGGTAATGAGAGCAGACACCAGTGCTGCCAAGTCCTCAGGGTGCGAGGGGAGGTTAGAAACTGCAAACATCCCTGCTTCGGGACAGCAGGGCTGTGATCTGCCACCAGCCTGTACCTTCTGTGAGCAGCCCTGCCCAGGCTGGAAGCCAGAGGCCACGTTCACACCCCGTGCCATCTGCCTCATTTCCAGGCTGGCCCTCCAGTGGTCCCTGTAGACCACAGCATCTCATTCCCCAGAGAGGTTAGCCTCGGGACTTGCCTTTCAGCCAGGACATGGGCACCCTGGAGTCACTCGGACGAGCCTGCACCCTGGGGAGCTCCCAAAGGAACTGCCACACCCCGAAGGGACCAGAGGAAGGCAGGGATCAAACAGCTGGGATAGGCAAACAGCAGGCAGTCTGGGAAAGGAAATCACCTAAGATTCCCTGCAGGGATGGAGAAGGGAAGTAGAGCAGATTCCCATGATGCAACTTTCAAGACCCCATCAAGGTGGAGGTCAGCTGGGCAGGGCTGGGCTGCACAACCCCTGGGACAGACCTGCAGCATGTCCCTGTCTCAGACGAACTTGGCCCCTGCAGGTGCTGGAGTCTGTACCCCCCCACCCACCCCCCGAGGCCTTTGAGAGCAGATGGAATCTCTGCACATCGGCTGTGAGTGCAGGAGCCGATCAGGAGGAGCTGTACGGGTTGGAAAAGGAGGCCAGGGTGTCCCCAAGCACCAGGGTGTGGCCACCCAGAGAGTGTTACCCCAGCAAGCCAGGTCAGGAGTCCATCAGATCCAAGGTGAGGCGCATGGCGCTGTACTTACAAGTAGACTTCCCATGGGTTTTCTCACAGTTCGGGCAGTGGTATATGTCGATGTCTGGGGCCTCCTCCTCTTCTACGCCAACACAGCTGAAATGCAGGAAACAGACGTCACTGGCGGTCAACAGTTCCATGAGCGCTTCCCTGCAAAGCATCCGGGCAACTCTTGCTCACCTCTTGGGAGGGTCCAGGGCAGTGTGTGCACAGATGGGGCAGAGTGTTGTGGGGACAAGTCAGGGGTCAAGGAGGAAGGAAGGAGGTACAAGGAAGGCCTCGCCAATGCATGACCAGGATAGGGGAGGGACCAGGTGGGCCAGCAGGCCTCCCTCCATGAAAGCTGTCACTGCCCTGTCACCACAGAGCTCAGGGAGGCTAAGGGAGGCACTTCACTGGGGCAGCTCAGAGCCATCAGCAAGGTCCCTTTGGACACCATGGGGGACCGCCATCAATCTCCCAGGGGCAGCACTGGGACAGCAGGCTAGCAAAAGAATGAAGCTGAACTCCTATCTTACTCCATATAAAGACGTTAACTGAAAATGGATTAATCACCTAAATATAAAAGCTAAAACTGTAATACTCTCAGAAGAAAACATGGAGGTAAATCTCCAGAGCCTTGGATTCCTAGATATGATGCCAAAAGCACAAGCAACAACAACAAAAATAAACTGGATGCCATCAGAATTAAAAATGTGTGTGCATTAAAGGACACTATCAAGAAAGTGAAAAGACAACATACAGAATGGGAGAGAATCTTTTCAAATCATACATTTGATAAGGGTCTACATTCAGAATATATAAAGAATTTATAACTCAACCACAAAACAACTAAAAAGAAGCAAAGGACTTGAACAGACATTTCCCCCAAAATGAAATACAAATGGCCAACAAGGTCACGAATAATGCTCAACATCCTTAGTCATCTGCATGCCTCTGACATGCAAATCAAAACCATGACAGACCACCACATGCCCACTAGGACAGTTGCAATTTTAAAAAGAGAAAAAATGGGAAACTAACAAGTGTGGCAAGGATATGGAGAAGTTATAACCCTCTTACAAATGTAAAATGGTGTGGTTTCTATGGAAACAGTATGGTGGTTCCTCAAAAAAGTTAAAGATAGGATTACCATATGACCCAGCAATTCCACTTCCAGGTATATACCCAAAAGAACTGAGACCGGTATCAAATCCTTTTACACAAGCGTTCACAGTAGCATTAGTCACAATAACTGAAAGATGGGAGCAACCCAAGTCCATTGACCGGTAAATGGGTAAACAAATTGTGGTGTATCTATACCATGGAGTATTATTCAACCTTAACAGGGAGTAGAGGGCTGACACGTGCTACAACATGAAGAACCTCAAAAAAATTATGTTGAGTGAAAAAAGCCAGACATAAAAGGCCACATATTATAGGATCCCAATTATATTAGACTGAAGACTGGCTGGTGGTACTGGGGGAAGCGGGTACAGGGGAAAAGGAAGTGACTGTTTAGTGGGATGAAATGTTTTGGAACCAGCTAGAGAAGATGGTTGCACAACACTCTGAAACATGCTGAAACGTTCACTTTAAATGGCTGATTGTATGCTGTGTGAATTTTATGTCAATAAAAAAGAAAAAGAACCTGGCCTTGTGAGAGGGACACCGTCCTATCACCACCACAAACCCGTCATTGCTAATGCTGGCTGACCGCTCACTCTGCAGCGGGAGTGATTACTGCAACACCGGGGGCGGGGGGGGGGGGGGTGCTACTAGCCCTATTGTACAATGGGGAAACCGAGGCACGAGAGGTTAGACGTCTGCCTAGACCCAAAGGCTTCCTCACTATTCAGTGGGACAGTCCCTTGCCCCAGGCACTGGGCCAGCACCCAGCAGACAAGGCCCACGCAGGGACCAAGGCCACAATCCCACAGCTCTGCGGACAGACCCTGCAGCCCAGAAATCTTGGCACCTGTTTTTGAAAACATTAAGTCCACTCTTCGTCTCAGAACATACACTGAAATAAAGCACAACGGTCAGAAGAGCCGACAGGGAAGCAGGCCGTGAGGACGTGTTTGCGCTCACCATACAGGTAACTTTCTAAACAAACATACAAAAATGGGAGAGGAAATCAAAGAGAATATTGATGGATTGAAAGCGCTCCACATCATGAAAACAAAGTTTCAAGGCCAAAACATAAACATTAACAACAAACACAGCCAAGTGTTTCTACCCTTCCTCCAGGAACGAAGGGCCTCTCCCACAGAAGACAGGGCAGAGCCAGAACAGAATAGGCACCCAGCTACCGTGTAGACAGGCGCCCTCACAAACCCGCGGAAGGCGCATCGCAATCACACCACATGATGTTCACCTCACAAACTGCCACAACCAAATACATCACACTGGTGACACCCCATGTTGGCGAAGGCACAGTGAGGAGGGCAACCACAGCCACCACTGCAGTGCTGGTCTGTCTCCACAGCATCGACCTGGGCCGGCCGGCCTCTGCTCATTCATCGGGTGGCCTCTTGATACAAGTGATCACGGGGATGGAGATGGCTGCACATGCCATCAGCTCCCACAGCCCACATCCACCAAGGCCCACGGGCCAGAGCCAGGGGCAGAGCAGAGTCCTGCATCTGGTTGGGATCAGCCGGATCGAGAGACTGGACACAGACTCCACACCCCACACCCACATCCAGCTAAAATCCACGCCCTTGTACACGCCCCAGGTCTACACCTTGAGTTCACATCCCACATCCACATCCTGTATCCAATCCTGAGTCTACATTTCAGGTCCACATCCTGAGTTCATAACCCAGATCATCCCTAAATCCACACCCCCTGTCCACACCCCACCTCCACATCTCAGGTCCACACCCCAAGTCTACACGCTGCAGCCACACCTGGGTCCCTATCTCGAGTTCATACCTGACAGTGGCTACAGGCTTCTTCTCACTGGCAGTTCCTAAAGCAGACAGACACTTAGGACAGCCCACCTCCCCGATGCGTCTGCTCCAACCCAGCAGAGACCACACACACCCATGACTATCACGTACCCTTGTCTGTCCCAGCCACAGGAGCCCTGGGGCCTACAGGGAGAGCACAGACTCTGCCAGCAGGCCTCTATGCACCACCCTCACCCGAAGGCGGCATGGGGGTTGAGTTCTAGGTCAGTCAAAAGGAAGGCTATCAACACCTTAAAATATAACCCCCCAGTGGGTGGTCCTCAGCCCTGGTCACCAGGACAGGTCCCCACACATGGCTGCTGGTCCCACATGTCCCTGAAGCCCCATTGTACTCTGGAAGGTAGAGGGGGCATCCCATGTGACAGGTAGGACGCTGAGGCCCAGGTGTCATGACCATGTGCATGTCGCCACCCCTTCCCCTGGGGCTCCTTCTTCAACTACCAACCAATGAGGGTGCAGGTCTCACCTCAGTGGGATGGCAGCCTGGGACTGAAGAGAAAAGTAAGAGATGTGGATGGTCGATCCCCCGTTCTGCCCCAAACGCCTTGGAGCCGCCCCTCACCTGAAAGAGACACTCAGGGGCTGGGCCATAAGCAGGGGCCAAGGCTGCAGCCAAGGCTGCCCACCAGGGGAATGACCACAGGCGGGCTGGCCCCGCCTCTAATGGGAATCCAGCAACGCCCCCAGGACTCACCTCGCAGCCCTAACTGCCTGTGCCTGCACCGTGACAAGGATGGCCTGGCGTGCTAACTAAGGCCCTGGAACTTGCTCACTGTCTGTGCTGTGTGCAGAGGGGACAGCCCTAGCTCCTGCCCGGGGGTCTCGAGGGTCCAGGGACCCCACTGTTCAGTGTGAGTTCCTGAACAGGTCAAGCGCGGTGAGGGCTTGACCTCGTCACGGTCAGCTCTATTCTCGCCGGGCAGGCCATTCACGGAAACTGCTCGTTTATTTTATTATCCCAAAGTGAAGGCTTTCTGAGTGGCCCTTAAGAAATTATCTAGAAAAAGTACCCAAAACCATGAGAGGAGAACAAGAGCTACAGGAAAGTCCGCAGCACTTTCCCTGCACTGGAGCCAGGAGCAGACGCTGCCTCAGGAGCCCGTCCCTCCGGCCCACACCCTCAGTGTCTGACCACGGCTGTCCTCGCTCACGAAGCACAGCGGTCAAGTGCTGAAAGAGCATCAGTGAGAAGAAAGTCCCCAACACGCACATGCCTGTGGGTGGACGCCCACACCACGCCTCTGCAGGAACCTGGCCAGGGCCGCCTCTGCCAGTGATGGCGAACCTATGGCACGTGTCAGAGGGGACACGCGAACTCATTTTTTTGGTTGATTTTTCTTTGTTAAATGGCATTTAAATATATAAAATAAATATCAAAAATATAAGTCTTTGTTTTACTATGGTTGCAAATATCAAAAAATTTCTATATGTGACACAGCACCAGAGTTAAGTTAGGGTTTTTCAAAATGCTGGCACGCCGAGCTCAAAAGGTTCGCCATCACTGGCCTAGGCCCAAGCAGCTGGCTCGCACTGGTCTGGAGGGCTCCTCCCTGGACAGGAGGTCTCCACACTGCCTGGCCTGCTCGAACTCCTGTGTCTGCAGCAAGGAGGCCAGGTCTCCCTGCCCAGGGGGAGTGCATCCCTAGGGACTGCGTGGGCAAAGGCTCGGTGAGGACCTGGATGGGCCAAGGAGGGAAAAGGACGCCCTCGCAGCACCGGGATCCTGGAAGGAAGGTGGGCACTACCTCCTGGGAAGCAGGCGCTAGAGCCCACTTCACGCTCCAGTTACCTCCTGACGGTCCAGCTACATATGGAGGTCGAGGGACCAGCTGGCTAAGAGCCAGGCCCTGGACACGGCCAGGCCCTGCTGCTTGAGTCCCCGAA